ACTGGTGCTGCACGAATGGATGTTGCTATTTTGTTATTTGTCGCTTTTTTTGAGTTTGTCTCACTTTTTGAGTCACTTTTTTTTTTTAGTTTTGTCACTTTTTTTTGAGTTTGTGTCACTTTTTTTTAAAAAAGTGACAATTTTTATAAAAAAAAAAATGACAAATTGAGCTTGTGTCACTTTTTTATTTTACACAGTATTTTTTACTTCCTATTTTACCTTTCACATGATTTTTCAAAACACCCCTAATTTTTAGGGTATTTTAGTAAGTACCCCTTTGGATTATATTCAATTATTAGCTTCCTAAGTAAATATACTCACCAAAAAAAAAAAATATGGGGATATAAGTTACTTAGCCCCGGTTTCTCATTCTTTAAAATTTTAAATTATTTGCTATAGTATCATTCTCGACCACACATTCACACAATAAAATATTCTAAATACAATCCAATAGAGTATCCTTACTTTTTAATAACAAATTGTCCATCGATCTACTATTTTATAATACATTACAAGAAATTAACTGCTCTCAAATAGGGCCTTAAGAAACTAAAATTCTATTAACCTTATTTTCCTTCAATTGGGTCTAATTTGGTATGGTCTTATCCAAAACAATTTTATCATGAGTCTATTACACTTGATTTAATACGATCTATTCAACAAGCCAAATATTGATATACTAATTTCTGCCCTAGTATATTTAATTATTTGACCCAAGAAAGTAAAAGAATTAATACATATCTCTCTTTTGTTCTTCAACTATCCAAAATAATAAAAATGCATGTAATCAAAATCATTATCACCAAAGTAATTCCTTAAATTTCGGGGCGTGACAGAAGAACCTCTTTAAAATCTCCCCATGAGTGAATGTTGTATTGAGTTCTCGATTACGAGTAGAAAACTACAACTGACTCGTGGATTGAATTAGGCCTGGACAAAACTCTCAAATGGAATTGAACTAAATCGAACACGAATCGAACTGAATCAAAATGAGCGATTCTTCTTAAATTAAATACTTGAATGAGTATCTGAATTGAGAACCGATTGGTTCGTTTTGATTCTTGATTTTAGACCAAGAATCCAAAAAATCGAATATCCCTAATTTTTAAATTTTTTTTATATTAAATAAGTCAAATTATTTTAATTTTTTCTAATTTAATTTATCAACTAATTAATTGAGCCCAGAACCAAAATATGATTTTTCTATTTTTAATTTCCAGCTCAAAGCCAACTTAATCAAGATTTTTGTTTATTTATATTTATCAATTATGCTTTGTAGAGTTTCTTAACGTGACAAGTCAAGCAATGAATGCTTAATTTAAATGGTTGGTAAGTACGAGCAAAATTTTAAAATATTTTATTTTTGTAATTTCTAATTTATATTTCATTTTTTATGTATACTTGATGGCTTGAAGCAAATGAATCAATAAGAAGAAATCACCAACGTTTTAATATCATTATTTAATTTTTAGTAATTTGTATACATTGGTGAATGAATCTTATTATAGAACTTGTTGTTTGTATAATTTTAAATGGGACTACGTTATTTTATAAGAGTTAAAATTGAACATGTCATTAGTTGAATTAATGCCGTGCTTTAAATATTTAAAAAATGTAATTATGGTAGGAACTCAAGGACCCAAACCGTTCGGTACCACAACTAAATGTGGACCCGACGTTCCACTTACTAAATACCCAAAAATTCGGGTTCGGTTTGGTCGAACCAAAACGAACCAACCATGTCGAGCTCTTGATTGAACTGAGTTTGTCGACGTCAATTTGCCAATGAAAGATCGATGTACATATGGCTATTACGCAATTTTCTCCACAATAACATGATAATATTTAAGCATGTGTTCACATCCCCTAATATGTTTTGGCTTCTAACGGAATTGCCCGTAAATAGGTGATGGAGGATCATATCTCACTCGCAGACTATCAGGAGAGGATCCAAGGCCGTACCTATGTTTCGCGGAGCCTAAGGCGAACTTCAAAATTTGGACCCCTAAGTCATAGAAGACAATCCACTTTTTCATTTAAGACAGTATGGCCCCAATGGAAGTATCTTTCCTCCTATGACTGCAGCTAGGGATTTCATTAACCAGGGACAATTTGAGGAAAAGAAGTATTTGTATCCGTTGGTGTCACAATAAGAAGGCTGGAGAAGAACATCATCTATTACTTCATTGTTGAGGCTGCATATAATGATGCAGGATTTTTAATTTATAAATGTAATCGTTACTTATCTGAAAAATGTACCAAAAAGGCCTAAATTGAGATTCAATTCCCAAATTAAGTCATCTATACTGCAAAGCGAACAATACAGCGCTGAGTTTTCCCGTAGGTGAAGAGAAAAATGTACTATTTGCTGATAATAAAAAGCTCAGGCTTACGAAAGGCACCTTAAGACCAAGTAATTTGATGGGTGCAGTCTGTCCAGGCACAATGCAATTTGGCACCGCTACTTCCAATATAGCCTCCTTCCCTAGCCCGCTCGTCTGGGTGCTGAAATTCCAACCAAACGCCCATAAGGATACAAAGCATAATGCTTTACCGAACACTAATGTCAAAAAACTGCTAAACAAATAAAAAAATCAAGGACTTTTGCACTAAATAAAAAAAATCAAACAGACTGGTCAATAGACATGAATAAATAAATAAATAAGATATGCAAGGTAAAGATTGGAACTTTACATGAAAATATCTAAACTGCTAAACATCACAAAAGCAAAAACACAGTCCAAAGTAGTGATGGCAAATGAGCCGAGCGGCTCGTCGGCTCGCCCGCTCGGCTCGTACTGTTCACGCCCACGAGCAGCTCGGGCTCGTAAAAAAACGAGCCCGAGCACGAGCCGAGCGGGCTCATGGGCTAGACGAGCCGAGCCCGCTGGCTCGTAACTATTCACGAGCGGCTGGGCGAGTGGCTCGCCGAACCGCTAGTGAAACGAGCCCACGAGC